GTACTTATTGGTTTAAGTACATTAATTAACATTCTAAAACAACGCTTTTTTAGATCTCGTTTGCATCTTCCTCGTTGCCTATGACGTCAATCAAAATTAATTAATATTTTTCAGCTGACGACGTAGTTGATTGACGTAGTTGACGAATTCGTCAATGCTGCTACACAATATGGCCGCGATTTCCAAAAATGAGGTCCATAAGCAATCCTGTGTAGTAGTGTGTATTATCCTTGACCAAAAACTAGGTATTTGGGCAAGGTATTTGGGCATTTATGTTTTATTAAAGCAGAGACGTCATCAATGCCATTAAAATCGGGACCAGCTTGAACCGCTGTCAAAAAATGCGACATTTTTATGTCAACCAAGGAATGCTAATAAATCAATTTTTTTAATTTTTTCTCATTTTATGAAAAACATTTTATGAAAAAAATTTTACTGGTCAAACAAACACAACACTACATTATTAAAAATAGTTTTTGTTAGAATTTCCTAGATGAAAAACATTTTTCATAAAATGAGAAAAATCAAAAAAATGTTATTGGTCAAACAAGTACTAAAGTACATTCTTAAAAACAGTTTTTGTTATAATTTCCTAGATGCAACTGTTTTTATTATGACAGCATAATCGCGAACGCAAAATATCTATAATAACTGCTTTTTCTTGAGATTTTGGATGGTGTACCTCTAACGTCTTTCAACAGAAAATAGACATCTGGTTTTTCTAAATTACTGTCTCAAATTGGTTTTGAAATCGGTAGGGGATGAAGGGTTGCAAATGTCAAAAAACTGAATATCCGCTAAATTGGTTTTGAAAGCTGTAGGGGATAAAGATTTGAAAATATGAAAAACCCCGATGAAGATGAGGTTTTCATTCTTTCTCTTCACATTTTGGATGGGGTAACTTTATCGTCTTTTAGCAGGGACTTAATAGAGACGTGGTCTCAACGACTGCCTTTTTCCAAAATCAGTAGTAGGTATGTTGGAGATATCGAAAGATTCAAAAAAAGTTTGGTTTATTTCCGTTTTCTAGAGATTATGTATGGATCGTAAATCATCATTGATTGGTAAAAAAGGATTTCCTTATACTTCAAATGACAGGTTTGCAAGACTTGATTTTGAAAGACCTAAATAGCTCTCAGCTCAAGGTCTAATAATAATTTTAGTACTTATTCATGTATTCTCTCTTTCCTATTCTTTTGTGGAAATGAAAACAAAAAAAATTAGACTTAATTTCGAAATTGATTTTTTTCGATACTCACAACCTACAGTGGGTATAGGTAGTTAAATAAAAGATTTTCAATTTGTAGAAGAACATGGGTACATTTTTCGTATTAGATGTATAGATTTATTAAGAAAATAAGTACCTATCTACATCAATATAACAGACAAAAATAAACACAAGTTACAATATAAAAGATCCAGTAAAAGATATACAAAATACTGTAAAAACTAAAACATACAAAGTCCTCCCAGGTACCATTTTATTCGTCATGTAAGTATTCGTTGAAACTCTAGTTGTCCCTTCCTCCCAAGGAGATTCTGACTTTGCTTTGTGTTGTCTGATTTCTCTCTGCGTAGCTTATTATAGAATTGTCTTCCCACGTGGGAAAATATATTTTTCGTCAAGGTAAGGCAGGATGAAGGAGACACTTAGAAAATTTCCTATCTACCCTTTCAATTCCGTACTCTAAAAGGTGGGGTAGTATGGTAGCACTATACACTAAAATCACATCAATTCGATAATAATTGAAACCTAAAAATTCTATAAAACATCATAGTTTCACTTTTGTCAATATTCAATAAATCTTATCTATAATTCGAATTGAATTAAGGTCTTGAAAGGACACTCATTTGTGATTTTATTACAAGACTCCTTGGGGTGTTTGTTTTTTGGAGTAAACATTTCTTTAGGCGCGTTCAGCACACTTTTTTGTGGGTACTGAATGAAACTGCGCCGTCACGTCACGCTCGGCTATGTTACGCTTATTTGAGTACAGTCCGCTCGAGTCGACTTGAGCTAAACGAGAGAGAGAAACAGTGATTAGATTTTATTTGAAGTAATTTTTGGGCAATAAATAATTTATTTTACCATTGAGAATGTTTCTGTATGGGACCCAAATCGTGAAAAAGTGCATGCCACATGACGTCATCAATCAAAAACCATTTTTATCCCAATTTAAACCACATTTGCTTAAAAGATACATACTTATTACTGGGCTAAAAGTTGCTACTTAATCATTTCTGGCCTTTGCTCACGTATATCTATGTATTACTTTTGTTGAGTGATTCCTTCTCATCATTTTTTGCTGCTATCCATTTACTCTCTTCTGCACTATTTATAGCTTTTTCATGTAAGCATGTAAGTCCATATTTTTCAAATATTTTCGCTTTTCTAACTACTCTTTCACTCCTGCTTTAAATATCTTTACCAGGGTCTTCGTCGAGGGTTTCTTCTGTCGTCTTCAGGTGGTTCTTCTTGCCATTCATGTATTTATCTGGTTCCACACTTTTTCACTTTTTACAGTAAAATTAATAAGAAAGTCTTTTAAGATCAGGTCGTCTTTTAAGTGGATAAGCAGCTCTGGCTAATTCTAGTAATGTGCGATTTAATCGCCAGGCTTTTCCATTCAACTCTGGTGAATATAGGGTATTGTGATATCCAAAATAATGCCTTTGTTTTTACACCACATTTTAAGGTTTTCATTATCGTAGGTATATTTGTCTCCATTAGGTACCTACCTACTATCACTCTGAATTTTATGAGCTCCGTTTCATATATCTACTCTTTTATAATGTATTGTGCGTGGTCTCATATTTTTATGTGATAAGAAGTACAAAATGGGTAAAATAGTCAAAATATATTGCTTATACCATCCCATGTTAGTACATCTATTGGTCCACAAAGGTCTGTATGTATAATTTCCCGCTGTTCTTACACTATTGAAATACAATCTGGCTTGTTCGATTATTTCGAACAGCGCGCGAAAATAAAATAGAAATGGAACCTCCACTGAAATTTTATTATGCCAATTATGATAGGTAATTCTTTTTCCACTTTTAGTTCATGGCATGGCAACCGTACTTTGTTTGTCTTACTTGTAGGTAGTCTTTGAATATAGGTACATCCAGAAAATGTAAGCAGATTGTCTATATATTTTTCAATAATAAATTCTTTATAAATAGGAAACAGCTATATATTGAAGAATGATTGAATAATTCCTTGTTTGATAGAAATGCTGAAATATAAAAAAAAATTGAATCTTAGTGTGGATTTAGTTATTTCGCAGTCGTAGAGAAAGTATAGTGTGTAAAAAGCAGTTTTCACACTTGTGTGGTTTGTGCCCTTGCAGGTGGCTCCTAACTTCCACACACATGAAAAGTGCTATTTTCAACACTTGTTGCACAAAATACTATGTACTAATATTGACTTTATGGAAAGTCCTGGAGAAATTTGTGTAAATGACAACAACCTGACAACTCCTCATAACCTGCAACTATCCGAGAAAATTGAGATATTCGTGATTCTGCAGCCGTGACTGTTGATAATAACCGATTGTACAGGCTGTCTCAAAACGACCCAACTATTTTGAATGAAATTTAAAATAAATCTGTTTATTGTTATTATCATTTATTGTTTTTAATCTAAAGACAAAAAAATAAATTTTCACTGCTTGAAAATGACATTAAATAAATGACGGCCATTTTGCTCGCGGCACTCTTCAAAGTTTTCACGGAGATTTCTAGAAACTTTCACAAGAAGTTGTCTGAAAATTTGCCTGGTTACGTGGATTATTCTCTACTTTCATCAATGCCAATCAAAGGACTGTTTGTTCACAAAACTATGTCGCGGTGTCTCGTGAAGTGCATGGGTACCAAAATTATGCACGGATTGACTTGAAACCAAGGCCACTGAGTCCGGCCAAAAAAAATTATGTAATCTGAGCATCATGTTGGTTTGAAAGATATGTACCTACCGGGTTATTCACTATATTTTTACCCCCTACTTGCAGCCTCTAGATACAGGTAGATGATAGGTATAAATACGCAAAATTTCAAATTTCTGATAGATAATAAATTTTTGTTTCTGATGATTGATTCTGAAAAATTAGCTAAATCTGCACAAATTTTGTATTTACACCTATCATCTACCTGTAAAGGTAAAGGCTGCAGATGAGGGGTCAAAATATAGTGAATAACCCGATACATCGAAGAGGACGCCAGCCATGTTGGAACAATTTGCATGTTTCAGAAACGATTTATTATTTTTCTAAATATAATATGAAATTACAGGCTTACAGGTTATTCTGGGTCCATTTTGGCATAGCTTGGTTTGCGCAATGCGCGCGTTTATTGCATGACATAGCAAGCGATGAATGGATTAGCAGGCATTACGACGATACCGGTTATTTTGAGTTATCATTATTATCAAGGATTAGTTTGCTTCCCCAAAGCACATACAAAATTAAAAATACGGGTAGATTAGTGCCCAGTTCATATTTTTCTCTGTCAACTGTATCAGGCTTCTTCATCCCCGATGAAAAAAAGTATACCTACCTCATGGAAAAAATGATCTCAACTAGGTCAGCTTTAACTTCACTGTAGGTACTGTTTGTAAGCTTGCTAGCGTGGGAAGATAAAGAGCGAACTCACTCACTTGTAAAATGTAGACAGTATTCAGACTTTATATTTCTCAAAAGTATACATTTCATATTGAATAATTTCGTTATAAAAAGCCATTAGCCCTAAATACCCATGAACACTATTAGGTAATTAATTAGCTATTTCCAAGAGTATTAAAGGAATGGTTGTGGCTATTTTATTTCTACTATGGAATCAAACAAAAAAAAAGAAAAGAAAGAAGTTTTCATCCTCCATTAATAAAGGCCTAGAAGATAAATGACATGTTGTTCATTAAACGATAAATCATTAGCAATTTGTGATAATTCGAACCTAAAAATTTTTGACTCCCTCCAATACCTATAAGAATATATTTTTTCCAGAGTGGAGACGAATCAGACAAGTCAGGTTCGGGCTCAGTGAGTGGAAGTTCTTCAGACAGTCAACAGGATTCGGCATCAGATAGGTTAGTATAGTTTTATGAATATGTTTGGTTGCTTGTTCAGACTTCTCACTTGATCCAGAGAGTTTCACTGATACGGTAAAAGAATTGGTCGAAGAAAAGATCTAGTAGCTGGTAGCGCTATCTCTTATATAATTAGAGGCTGTGGTGGAAGGGGAATGAATGAGGCAGCGGTTGGGGTTGCTGCTCCGTGATTGGTCCCGCTGGTCTTCTTTGAGGCTGGAGTCCATGCAATGCTGAGTTTGATTGATGCCCTCTTTCCTCTTCTTTGAATTGGATTTTTATAGCGGTGTTGTGAACAATATTTCGTGGCGTCTTTCTGCGACTTCATGCTATGCGATTCCTGACTTTTTTTGTCTGGCGTTACCCAACACCACTGATAGAATAAAGACTTGATACTCTTCACCTGACGTCACTACAGAAAGATGGCGAGTCGCGCCGGTAACCCAGGCTGATCACATTATTTATCTTGTTTTGCAATATTTTACCATTTTTTTTTTCCAATTTTTGAAGGGCTTTTGGTTGAAAGAGGGTGCTAGTCGTCAACTGATAGGTACTTTTATTTCCATCTAGTTCTTCGGGAGCTTTTTTTTCTGAAGTTTTGTCAATATTAAATATCTATCAAATCTTTAGAGGTGGAGCGAGTTGAAAACGACCAAAAACTCTTCAAAACTCGTGAACAAAAATGCTTGATGATAAGTTGCAAAGTCATTTTTACTATTTTCAATCGCTTTTGCGGAATTTCAATTTCCCAGCTTCTCAATTTTTTTCATAAAGACTTGGACAGAATTTCACAGTTTTTTATAAAAAGTATAGGAATTTCCAAACTTACAGTTATGGTTTCACCAGATTTTGAATCCGTTGCTGTAGAACAATTCATTATACATATTTCCTTTCGACTCTAATATTTCTTAGTTTTGATGGGTATTTTTTAAAAAAATATCCTTCAAAAGTATTCCATCTACTCGACAATGTGGCGAAATAGTAGAATCTACTGCTAATAACTCATATTATGCGCTTGTATTTACTGTGGACACTGCCAGAATACCTGTAGTTGTGCCCTGTAAGACAGTGAAGACAAGGTGTGATAAAATCAGAATCTCGAAAAAAATCTTTTAAAAGTTTTCCATCTACTTGACAGTGTGGCGGAATATAATCCAATAGTAGGTACGGATAACACAGGTGTTAAACGTAGAACCCACTCCTAATAAATCATATAATAATCAATACACGCTCATAGTTTGAGTTATTAGCGGTGGGTTCTACGCTCAACACGTGAAAACGGGTCTTCAAAAAAAAAAAAATAATCAAAGATTGCTCAGCAGAATGAAAAACTTGAAAACGATACTTAGTAATATCAGGAGAGTTTAAGCAGTTATAAAATTGCAACTGTTAGTAACTATACTTACTGCATCTTTGCCCATACAAAATGAAAGCACCAGAAATGTTGCCTACGCCTAAGCGGCTTAGCAGTTTCTGACAGTTTCGCATCTTCGTTTAGCATCATGGACTTAACTACAAATAAGTAATTGTTATTGTTTAGTAGAGTTTATAATACCTACCAGTTAATGAACAATTATTTTTTGAACATCAAGTTTTATCTCTAGCTGTACTCAAAATGAAGATCTGCCACACTCAACAATACGATTCTTTAGTTTCTGCCTACTGCTTTCTTATGTATGGTGCTATCAGTTTTTAAAGTCAATCTAACATTTGATTTTAGCGGGTCAGGCTCATCTAGTTCAGGATCTGGCTCCGAAAGTGGCGGAGAAAATGATAATGCTTCTGATAATGACACATCAAAGACGACTGATGAAAGTAGCCAAATTATACAATGCAATCAGAGTAGTCCCGGACCTTCCAAAGATGACAATTCTTTGGGTGTAAATTCGGAGGTAAGATGTTTTTTTATGTAGGTACTTGAAATGCGCTAAACATGGTTTTTGACATTTACAGCCAGAAGATAACGATGTATCACCATCCAGGAGATCTTCTTCTAACAAAACAAAATCGGAGGTAATATTTCTTGTTTTCAAAATCAGGCATTATATTTTCGTTACCATTTATAGCAAGATGATGATGATGATGATGATGATGAGCCAGTTCGACGATCTGGTCGTTCTAGGCGGGAGCCTGAACGACTGGAAAACGAAAATAATTCAAGAAAAAAGAGTGACCATTGGAAATATAATGATGCAAGCTCCTCTTCCGAATCGGACGAAGAAAGAGAACGACCACCTCCAAGTAAACGTGTGGGTGCCAGAGCAAGAGCTACAGTTCAGAAAAAGAAACCTGTTAGGAGGCGGCATCGATATAGTTCAGACGAATCGACTGATTATTCTGAAGACGAAAGACGTCGGATTGTTGCCAGAAGGGCTGCTGCTACTGTCAGTTACAAGGAAGATAGTGAAGACAAAACTGATTCTGAAGATCTTCTTGATGTAGATCCAAACGAACCTGTTGAACCTGTGATAGAAGAAAAATGTGAGACTATCGAAAGAGTAATAGCGCAACGAAGAGGGAAGAAAGGGGTGACTGGTAACATTACCACTTGCTACTACATAGAAGAACACGGTGACCTTAATGAAAGTACTGATCCAAATGATTTGGAAAATACAGAGGACCAGTACCTGATTAAATGGAAAGATTGGGCACATATACATAATACTTGGGAATCTGACCATTCTTTAAGGGAACAAAAAGTGAAAGGAATGAAGAAATTAGAAAATTATATTAAAAAATCAGTCGAAATACAACAATGGATGAAGTATTCAACACCTGAAGATGTAGAATATTATGAATGCCAGTTAGAGCTAACTCACGAACTTCTTAAAAGTTATAACCAAGTGGAAAGGATAATTGGTAATAATTTATATGTACTTAACTAACTTTTTCTAAATTCATATTTACATAAGTTGCACAATTATCTTTGTAGTAGTGTGTGTATGTCGTAGTGTTATAGTGAAATACGTGTTTTCGTGAAAATCCTAGGCATTTCACATTGTGAAATAATAATCTTTATCTTAAAGCGGTCCATAACTTGAACTTTATTATCGTCAACACTCGTCACAGAAGTGATCCGTTATGTTCCTAGGACCATAAAAATCTTTACGTATGGGGTAATTTGTTCAATCTTTTCCCGCTAGAGGCAGCAGCGTCAATCATCGCTATTATGTTCTTGTAATTAATTTTTCTTTTTCTTCTCGCTGGATGGCAGCGTCACCGATCGAGTTCGACTAATTTGACATTATTTCAAGTAAATAAATCATCCGTCATGAATTTATCAGCTGTTTAGTGTCTATTTTGCCGAAAACCTTGAGCTCAGCACAAAAAGACCCATTTCTGGGGCCAAATGACAGAAATAATCCTATTACACGTTCTGCTGTATTTTAGAAGTAGGCGCATTTTTTTCAGACAGTTTTCATTACTCATTTCCTTCAATTTAGATGGTGTAAAAATTATAGTTGTCAACAAATTCAAACTCACTTTTATTCGTAATATAAAAAAAATATATGTAACGCAAAAACAATAAAGATAGAACAAGTAAAGGCGGAGACACATACCTATACATGCATCTTTCCGATTCGACTCCGATCCTACAATCGGACCAGTGCCTGAGAAGGGAATGGCACTACACTTCAAACAACGTAGTTCACGTGCTACGTGTTGCTTGGTATTTGTTCAAGTTTTTTGTGGTGTCTTACTAAAATGGGAAAAAAAAGACTGCTATATAAGGAAAAGTGTAGGAAACAGTCCCAAGTAGCATGTACCCAAAATCTGCGTTTTCCGCTATTCTCCATAAAAGTTCTCCAATGTTCTTCATTTAAGTACCTACCTAACCTACTTCTTCTAAACAACCACGACTGAATCGCAGTTGCTAGCTAAAATCTTTAAACATTTCGCACACAAGACCTTCTGAGGCCCAATTCTGATCGCAGGGAGAGGAGAGCTCCCCGAAAGAACGGATTTTTTGTTCTTATCAACGTAATCGAAAAGTGAACGAGAATGATAAAGACGAAAAATTTGTTCTCTCGGGGAGCTCTCCTCTCCCTGAGACGAGAATCGGGCCCCTGGGAACTTGTTTGAATCAAGAATGGCGAGTGGCGAGTGTAACCAGCCGGAGCCGGAAGTCGGAAAGAACTAGGAAACGAGTATGACATGTGTGATCATCCCGTTCCGATCCCGCACCGATCGGATTCTTTTGAGGAAAAATCGAACCGGAGTCGAATCGGAAAGGTGTATATGACAAGTGTGTCCCGGTCTTTACTCGTTACCACTTAATCTGACCCACCGCGTATTGAGATAGTAACCTCAAAAAGGAATTTATATTTTATCTTACCCTATTCAGTTGCTGCTAGTGTAGGGTTCCTTATTTTTTGTCTTCGTAGAATAACATTATAATGGTCTGCGAATAATTCGACTTCCATTTTTTCTGAGATGATTTTTGAGTTCGGCAAACATGATAAAATTAACGACGGTGCGACGTTGCACGGCTACTGAGCGAACACAAAAAATAACAATGCATGATCTGCTGCAATACCAATACCTAGCAACTATTACCGTCTTTCCGCGAAAGGCCTACTTCTAAAATATGGCAGAACGTGTAGGTTATTAGTATTTCACAAAGTGGCGATAAGTGTTCGGCATTTCGTGAAAAGCCGCGCAGATAGCGTAATAATGTTTCTTTACATTGCCTATAGGCTCTTCACGCTTCACGAAAAGAAGTAGGTATTCCACTATAAGATTAGGACACATATTTTTTTCAACTTTTGGCTGATTATTCTATAATTTATTCACTTGATGTTTTTAGCTAAATATGATAAACCTGATGATGCTGGTGTAGACTATTATGTGAAGTGGGAGAATTTACCATATGCAGAATCCACCTGGGAAGATTCAGTGTTAATTCAGAAAAAGTGGCCTGAAAAAATCACTGAATTTTTAGAACGTGAACAATCAACAAGAACTCCAACAAGACATTGCAAAGTTCTAAAATGTCGCCCCAAATTCCACGAAGTCAAAGACCAACCAGATTATATGACAGGCAAAGAAAAAAGTCTGGTATTAAGAGATTATCAAATCCACGGTTTGAATTGGATGATCCATTCATGGTCCAAGGAGAATTCTGTAATTCTGGCCGACGAGATGGGTCTTGGCAAAACGATTCAGGTAAATAATACATTTATCTATACTAATATACTAAAACCGAAGAGTTTGTTTGCTTGAACGCGCTATTCTCTGGAATACCAGTCGGATTTGGAAAATTCTTTTTGCATTTGATAGCCCAATTATTCAAGAAGGTTGGTTATAGTAGGCTATTTTCCACATCACGCTAAGACCTTCAGAAAACAAAATCATACCATGGGAGGGCGATGTGACGTGGTGGGACTGCAGCCAAGGGCGGCCACCTGTCGAGAATATATAGTATTATTAGGCCTATGTCTACGAGGTACCATCACGCACGGATTATTATTGTATAAGAGAATGGTGGCTGAAAGTTTTTATTGTAGTATCGATGTTATTTATCAAACGCAATGAACTATAGCCAAAAACTGGAATGCGCGCACATTGCCATATCTGCCCAAAAAATGAAGCCATGAAAGACAGATGCCACAAGGGGCAATGTTGTTTTTTTCTGTTGCTTGCTGACATATGACGTTTTCGAAAGTTTTGTCATATTTTCCTTCACAGGTTTCATCAATTGGAATACGTGTTGGAAGCAATTTTCGCCATTTAACATAATGAGTGCGACAAAAACAGGTATCCCCTCCACAGCAGCTGCACTAGGCTTCACGTTCTTCCTTATGTGTTAGCATTCCAGTTTTTGGTTATAGTTCATTGATCAAACGCGACCACAAACTTTACTTTTGAGGTTGAGTTTTGTGCAAGGCGTGCTTACATGAAACTTGAATATACAAACAATAAACGCACTAAAGAAATAACTTACTGAAAATAACAAAATTTTGTTTTTTCTTGTGGGCACTTTGAACCAATAATTATTTTCTTGTATATGTATCAATAAAAAGAAATATATTTGTTTCCGGAATAATTAGTTTTTTTTTTGTGCAGACCATTTGCTACTTGTACTACCTATTCAACAATCATCATCTTCACGGACCTTTTTTGTGCGTAGTGCCACTGTCTACTATGACATCATGGCAACGAGAGTTTGCGCAATGGGCTCCTGATTTGAACTTTGTTACCTATCTTGGCGATGTGCAGTCGAGAGAAATTGTAAGTACAAAATATACAGGGCTTTCCTGGATAATATATCACTTTTGAAGGAGGTATGTAATTCCTTGGCTTGTTTTATAACTAAAAGCTCATTATAAAAGTGTGCCCTAAATTTAAGTATAAAAATTAATTTACAGGGTGTTGAAGTTTAAAAAAAAGAATCCATGTAGCAAAAGGCTAATTTATAGGTACCTGATTGGATTAAAATTTTCATAACAAATGGCGTCCTGTAAGGCAAAAATATAAATAAACACAGTGGCGTACATTTTTTCTTTAATCTCAATAGCGTTGCCTTCCGGGATGAGACTGGATTTAATAATTCGAATCCCATCAGGCAGCCTCTTGCTTCTACGAACAAACCGACCACAAGAGGATGAACAACTGTTTTTTTTTTTAAATTTTTCACATCCTGTATCTTTAAAATAAAGCAATTTTGGGCAAATATTTATATGATAGTAATAAACTAATCCAAGGATTTACCTCCTTCAATGGTGACATGATATTTAGGAACACCCGGATTTCTATATATACCTACTTAATTATACAGGGTGACACTTTAAAAAAACTTACAATTGCTATATGAGGAACCAAAACAGGAGGGTTGGGATATTGACCGCTCAAATTCTTTTGTGTTCAATTGACAAACGACCGGTCAAATTCCGTCTATAGAAATAATAGTCCAGGCAATGAAGCAAAAAAACGTGGTTTGCGAGAAAAAAATTGTATAGTTTTTAAATTTTGACAGTTTGCTCAGATGGACATAGTGAGTCGGAATCCCATTTTGCAGCAGTTTAGGGGGTGGGCTCGCTGATTGGGGCGGTTTTTTGAAAAAATGGCAGTTGTGGTAGAACGCTGGTAATACGGCTTAACGAAATTGAAAAAAAAAAAAATGATAGATCCCTTTTGGTGATTAAAAAACCTCACGACAGCCCTGTCCTATCTTTTATAGTTAACGCCCTAGAGCGCGTCAAAGTAAGGGGTGTGACCTGGAAATTGGCCTCGTCGCACCATTTTCCGTTTCGTGCGTCAGAAAAAGAACAGATTCTTTAATTTCAATTATTGAAATCTTGAATGAATTTGCCAAGAGTGCGTTTTTTAAGCGGTCTGATTACTTCAAAATTAACGATTTTACAAATTATTGAAGTTCAACTTTTTTGTAAAATTCAGCAAAACTTATACAAAATACAATTTCAATGTAACTGAATTAGGTATGTTTTATTGATTCAATCAAAAATTATCACATCAAATGTAGCTTCGTAGGGCACTTTCGCACTGTTGAAAAGCATTTTTTTTGAGCTTTAAGTATCACAAGTAGGGTAGGGGATTGCCATTTAAGATTATTTATTTTAGTTGTGGTGGCTAGGGGTGACAGTGGGTGAAAACAGATAGGTTATTGAATCATTTTGGTTCCCCCTTCATATGATAGAAATTGTTTCCAGCTATGTTTTATATTTTCTTCGGTTTCTCAGATATAGCCATTGTACATTTTCAAAGTCTCATCCTGTATACTATTTTAAATTGAGTACACATGTATAACTTTAAAATACATAAGTATTCACTTATAGTTGTGCATTTTTCTGAGGCGAAATGATTTAAATATACAAGGAGTCTTACAGAGAGTCATTTTTTTCTTTTGGAGCCTCTATGTTACTGCAGCTGAATTCAATGGGAAATTCTAGATGGGGTTTTACATGTGTTCACAATTTTTCAATTGCTCTTACTACCAACATTATGAAAACTTAAAAAAAAAATGTTGGTATGTAGGTATTTGTTTAATTACGTTTGTTGTGTGTATGATTAACTTTATTGTACAATTCATTGAAATTGATTGATACACAAGGAAATTCTCATTATGGAAATAAAACAGTTTGATTAACCTAGTGACAGTGACTATTATTGGAAGCTGGCATGACAAAAGTTACCGAATTTTCTCCCAAAAATACTTTTGCAGAAATATCGAACAGAACCGATAAGTTGCAAGTGTCAATAAGTCTTGTGACTTGCAGGAACTCTTGCATCATGTAAAACCACCTTAAGAATTTTACATTCAAAAAGTCCTACACCTATCGCTTATGACTGTTTTCCAATATTGACAATTAAAACTTGACATTTTTGAAATTCTCACTGCCCGTAAAACCCAAATAGTTCAATTTAAACTATACAATTTCATTTTGCAACGTTTTTTGCCTAATTAAAAGCAACTAATTTTCTCAGAAATTATAATGCCAACTGGGTGAAAGGTAATTTTTCTACATCAATATGTGAATGCCAAATCTGTTTTGGACGTGAAGCTCTATTTTGCTGTTCTTCCTACAAAATCCCTAATTTGCAGTGTAGATTCTCACGGATTTGGGTATTTCTGATAAACCAGGGCACATCTAAAGTCTTTCAAAAGCTGTTTCCCATGGCCAATTTATCTTTTTTCAATGTAAGCTTTGAGCATATTGCCCAAACGCAACTGACTTCTAGAACAATCGCGAAGGACCGATTTTGGCAACATCAGAGTATTCAACTCGTAATAGTCTCAAAGTTGCAATGCCTACTATTAGATTTTCTTTTTAGATTCGTCAATACGAGTGGTGCTATGACGGTTCCAAAAGGCTGAAATTCAATGCTATCTTAACTACCTACGAAATCGTACTCAAGGATAAAGCTTTCCTAGGAAGCATCAGCTGGGCTGAAATATTAGTTGATGAAGCTCATAGATTGAAAAATGATGACTCGCTATTATACAAAGCATTAATGGAATTTGACACCAATCATAGACTACTAATTACAGGAACACCATTACAAAATAGCTTAAAAGAATTATGGGCTTTGCTTCATTTTATTATGCCCAATAAGTAAGTAACTCACATAACGTTTGAAAAACATAATGAACCCCTAAACCCTACAATCATTTTTCACTTACAGATTTGAACGCTGGGAAGATTTTGAAAAAGACCACGAACACGCTTCCACAAAAGGTTATTCTAAGTTGCACAGGCAGTTGGAGCCATTTATTCTAAGAAGAGTAAAAAAGGATGTAGAAAAATCTTTACCTGCTAAAGTAGAACAGATTCTTAGAGTTGAAATGACATCTATTCAAAAACAGTATTATAAATGGATTTTAACAAAAAACTACAATGCTTTGAGGAAAGGCGTTAAAGGTTCATCAAATACATTTTTAAATATTGTTATAGAACTTAAAAAATGCTGTAATCATGCGTTTTTGACGAAACCAGCTGAAGCTGAACCCCTTAACGCTCAGCAGGAAAGGCTTCAAACATTACTGAGAGGATCTGGAAAATTGGTTTTACTAGACAAATTATTAATTCGGCTTAGAGAAACTGGTCATAGGGTGTTAATATTTTCTCAGATGGTTCGGATGTTAGATATTTTAGCTGAATACCTCCAGTTAAGACATTTTCCATTTCAAAGATTAGATGGTAGCATTAAAGGTGATATTAGGAAGCAAGCTCTCGACCATTTCAATGCTGACGGATCCCAAGATTTTTGTTTTCTTCTCTCTACTCGTGCAGGTGGTTTGGGAATCAATTTAGCAACAGCAGATACAGTAATTATTTTTGATTCTGACTGGAATCCACAAAATGACTTGCAAGCCCAAGCTAGAGCGCACAGGATTGGTCAAAAAAATCAAGTCAATATTTATAGGCTCGTTACAGCTAGAAGTGTTGAAGAAGAAATTGTTGAAAGAGCAAAGCAAAAAATGGTTCTAGATCATTTAGTTATACAACGAATGGACACTACAGGAAGGACTGTGTTAGATAAAAAAGGAAGTACAAATAATAATCCGTTCAATAAAGAAGATCTAACTGCGATTTTGAAATTTGGGGCTGAGGAATTATTCAAAGATGAGGATATAGATGAAGAACCTAATTGCGATATAGATGAAATTTTAAGAAGGGCGGAGACTCGTGATGAAGGGCCATCAATGGCAGGAGATGAACTTTTATCAGCTTTTAAAGTAGCAAGTTTTGCTGCGTTTGAGGAAGAAACCGTTCCCTCACCAATGGCCACAACAAACGATAATGACGAAGAAAGTAAAGACTGGGAGGAAATCATACCAGAGAATCTTAGAAAGAAAGTAGAAGAAGAGGAGAAAAATAAAGAAATGGAAGATTTATATTTACCGCCTAGAAGTAGAAAAACACTTCAGCAGATTAACCAATCAGACAGCGAAGGCGGCGAGGCTGGTAAAAGAAAAAGTAGGAAAGAAAATGACGAATCAGCAGGCTCTAGCTTAGGCGAAGGTGAAGAATCCGATCAAGATCGTCCGAAAAAACGTGGGCGTCCGCCAGTAGGAAATCGAGAAAAAATCAAAAACTTTACGGACGCTGAAATTCGCCGTTTTGTTAAGAGCTATAAAAAATTCAGCGCTCCCTTAAAACGACTAGAGGCTGTCGCCTGTGATGCAGAACTTCAAGAAAAACCATTACAAGAGTTGAATAAACTTGGTGAAATGCTCCGCGAGCGTTGCATAGCTTTTATGAACGAACAAAGTAAAGAAAATGATGAAAGCAAGAAGAAAGCTAGAGGCCCTTCATTTAAACTTGGTGGCGTATCCGTAAATGCTAAAACCATGATGCAGTGCATAGAAGAACTAGCACCCTTAGATGAAATTTTACCAGAAAATGAATCTGAGAGAAGCAAATGGTCGTTAGATATTAAAACTAAACCAGCTAATTTTGACATTGAATGGGGTGCAGAGGAAGATACTAAGTTGCTGAAAGGCATTTATATTTATGGCATTGGATCGTGGGAACAAATTAAACTAGATCCACATTTAAGTATCAGCGATAAAGTGCTTTTAAATGAGGACAAAAAACCTCAAGCCAAACATTTACAATCAAGAGCAGAGTACTTATTGAAGCTCCTGAAAAAGCAGCTAGATCCTAATAAAAAAGCTGCACAGAGGCCTAAGAGGGTTAGAAAGGTCAAAGATGCCAAATCTAAGGAAATAATTGAAAATGATTTTAGCTCAATTGATGAAACAGTGCAAACTAGTCAAGGTAACAGCCCGAAGAAATCAAGAGCAGTAAAGAAGGAAGTCGTTAATGATAAGGATGTAGAAGAAGTAGTGGTTAAAAAAGAGAAAAAAGAAAAAAAAAGTAAGGTGAAAAAAGAAAAAAAGGCAGCTGGGCCTATGCACTTCACTGCCAATCATGAACCAAAGGCTATAAACGTTCTAGGGGATTTGGATCCAGCAATATTTACTGAATGTAAAGAGAGGATGAGGCCTGTTAAAAAAGCTCTTAAAGCTTTGGATAATCCTGATCAATCCATGTCTGAAGTAGAACAAGTTCAACATACAAGAGACTGCTTAATACAGATTGGAGAACAAATTAATACTGTGCTATCCCAATACTCTGATCCTGATAAAATAAAAGAATGGAGAAGGTAAGAAATATTTATATGTTCATTATCTAACTACTCGAGAACTTTGGCATACATAAAGCGTCTTCAGTCTGAATATCGACCATTATTCTCGTTATAGCAAAATTCAAACATAAGTTGTATTGTTCCAAAGTCTCATCGACATAACTGAGAAATACCATAGTTTACACATACATAGCTGGAGTTGTTGGCAATAAAAATGACCCTTAATAACTAAAGTTTTGCTCGGAATGTTTCAAAGTACCCAAATGACAAAACCCGATTGATTATTTGGCTGCTATAAAAATGCGTCCATAGTCCATAGTATGAAATTCTCGTTGCATCGAAAATTACAGCTGATCGCAATTAGCTTTTGATACCTATAAGAAAGAATGTAGGTTTTCAAAAATATCTTGAATGCCTGTGTGTTGAACTGGGATTTCATAGGCCATTTCAATTATTTTTCATGACACGCGCTGCCTGAGATTTTTATACATAGTACCCTCTTTGTTTTTTGTTTTTATGGACTTTAAGTTTGAATTAAAATATTTGGCATATTTTTAGAGATTATTTCTATATTTCATCCAGTTCATAAATAGGTACAGTCAGCCAATAAAGTAGTGTCCCTAATTAAAAATTCATCGATCCATAAAAAAAAACTGTTTAAAATAATTATGTAGTTTTTTGATTGACTTTAGCTCTGTGATTTTTTTCAGTAATCTGTGGTATTTTGTATCAAAATTCACCGAATATGACGCCAAAAAGCTGTATAAACTATATAAGAAAGCCAAAGCGAAAGATACCAAAAAAGTTGTAAAAAAGGAGAAGCCTGTGGAGAAGGTTGCGGAAAAGAAAAAAGAAACCGAAGCTGTAAGTTTCCTTTATATGTACATATGTGCAACTACTAATGGGAACATAGCTGAATCTATCCTTATAGATTCACATTGGAAAATGACCTAACATTAAAGCTGGAGTCTCATTCGTTATCCAATGGTACGAATATATGATGTTGTTTCTATTGGTCGGAAAATTCGGACTCCGAAAACGTCTCTTTCGTTCGTCATTCTTGCCAATCGTGCCGCGTTCACGTTTCTATTATTTTATTTGTTTTGTTTTGGTTTGTTCGTCGTGATTTACTTTAAGAATTATATACGTGGACATTTTTAGGTAATACATTTTTCTGTGCCCCTAATTTTTTAAAATAAATTATACGCACACATTATAATCGGATTTGAACTACATAAATCCCATTTTCAAAACTTTCCAGTTTAAATTTTTTGGGTTGTTCCAACTTTCCAGTTTAATTTTTTTGGGTTGTTCTCTAGCTACTATGTTTATTACATATTTTCAAAACATAAAATTAAATAATTGTGGAAATCATTTTCACTAAAAACGAACAAAACTCGCCGAACTGAAACAAAAATGATGGCTCTTTACGACAGTTGCCAAATCGTATGATATCGAACAGAAAGTTAGAAAATTGGTGCGAAAATAGGAAAATACAGTAACTTATCAGAGCTACAGTGACTTAATAAACCTCTTTACATACATGCCAACAATTAAGGGTCCCCCGCCATTTTGGGGCTTACCTCTTGCAAATTTTAAATATAAATATATAGGATTTAAATGGACATCTATAATAAAAAATTGAAAACTGATACGTTGTTCTCGATTTGTTATAATGAATGTCCATTGAAATATATCCATATTTAAAATTACAAGAGGTAAGCCCCAAAATGGCAGCGCTTTCCATATGAATATATAGGATTTTCAAAGAACCGATCAAAATGAGACGGCAATTTCGCCACTGTGGTTATTGAGTCACTGTAATCAGAGCATCATCGTATCATGGTACCATTAGATAGGATCTGCATGAGACTCTAGCTTTATGTATTCTTTATTTATGTATTCTTTAAGCTTGAGGTACCATCAACAAGTAAAGAAAAGAAAAAAATTCGAAAAGACAGTGATAAAGAACACCATCACCATCATCATAAAAGAAAACACGAGCCTGGAGAAAATAACCACAAAGATGAAAAAACCAATAAAAAACATCACAAGGATGGTACAGAAAAGTACGTGTTCTTGAATTCTGTGATCAATTCATCCTAATAGCATCGTTCAATTTTTCAGAAAAGAGCGACGAGAACGAGAGCAGCAAGACAAAGAGAGAAAGCGAAATAGAGACGAAGTTAGTACAGAAGAAGAAGGAGAGTACAGATATCAAAAGCATAGAAATGCTCAAGGTTTTAGACAAACTGTACCACCCTCTCATCTGGAGCCTGATCGTAGTTGGTCCGGCCCAAGTGCGCCTAGGGAACGGTTTTCTGTGGATCATCCTAAAAGGACGTTTACCGATTATTCACGAGGAAGTGTTGGTCCTGGATACCATAGAGAACGCGACTATATTCGGCCTGATAAAAGGTAAGAAAATTAACAGTAATAATTGAATAACTTTAAAACGGGTCAAACAAGTGCCAATTTTTCAGTCCAATTTAGGTTTTGTTTTCACTTTTCTCTCCCAAGTAACTTGTTCTATTTTTTAATATATATACATATAATATCCCAGACCGCAAAATATCATTCCCTACAGAGGCCATGAATATTCCTGGGATTATTCCAATCGTCCCAGAATATTCCCAAAAATATTCCTGGCATAATCAAATGTCCGCTTTTTGAATGAACTAGGCATTATGAAAAGAATATTCCCTGTTGATGAATACAGGAAGCTTTAGTATTGTTCAGGGAATGTTCCTGCTTATATTTCTGGGATTATTCTTGGGGCTTTTGCCACCTCATTGCAGGAGCGTTCAGGGAATGTTCCTGCTTATATTTTTGGGATTATTCTTGGCGCTTATTGCCACCTCATTGCAGGAGCGATCAGGGAATGTTCCAAAAGTAGCTATAGGAAGTTTTATAATAGGCTATTTTTCGCAACATAATTTTTCCAAAGGCTATGTTTGAATATGTTGGGTAATCCCAGAGGGTAATCCTTATATTACAGACTGTAACTGTGAAAAAACCAACAGAATTGAACATAACAAAAATTATGTTGCAAAAAATAGCCTAATGTCTTTTCTTTAAGAACTAAAAATAGACTTGCTGTAATGTAGTAAAGCTGCAAAATTCTGAATAAACATTGTATTCTGAAAATAAATTTAAATCAAATCAAAAAAACACAAACAAGGTACATATCTATAAGAAAATAATTGAGCAGTTAGGTATTTTATGGAACGCCATCCAACCTGCGCTGCGCTTTAGTTAGCCATACCGCCACCTGGTCTTCAATTTGCCTTGTGGTGGCGCGGGCTTCGTTATTTCTGACGCACTCTAAAACTGTAATTGTTAGAAAATATAAATAAATGTCATTTTTTGTTACCTGTTATTAGTTTTATCAGGTGTGTATGCACACTAAAGTTCTTTTTGCTCTTGTGGCCTTTGAAACTGTATGTTTTGGCCAGTTGGTCCACTATAATAATTTTCATGGCCTTTCGGACATATTCATTGAGATTGTGTCCTCCTTCCAATGATATCATTCTTAACTGAAACACAAAAAACAAATTTAGATTCTTATAAGTATTGAAATATATTATCCTTTCACAATTCAATGTCCACAGGTACAGGTAAAATTTGTCACCTTTCAATGCTATTTGATAGGGAAAGGTGATAAATTTACCTGTACCTGTGGAAATCAGATTGTGAATAGGATATTATATACTTAATAACTTACAACATAATTATAAAACTCCTTGTCGTCACCCAATACAGAATTTACTTCCTTTAGTGCATCATCATCTTTTATTGGAAAAAGATGTTTGAATCGCTCCAAGAGTTCTTCATTTTCAGGAGTGGATTTGTTGGTTATTGCAAGTTTTTTATTAAGATCCTTGATTAATTGATTTTGTTCTCTTAATAACGCATTGTTAGTAATAGTTAGCTTCACTAGCTTTTTCAACACATTGTGATCTAAAAATTGAAAGTTATTGATTAATTTCCTTTTTGACAATGAAATTTTACCATTTTCTTCATCGTTGCAAGCAATTCCAGCTGCGTCCTCATCAATAGGAGAAATTGCTAAAATAAAAATAAATATATATTTTCAAATTTTTGATTAACCACCTACAATGAGAAATTGTACCATTATCCTTTCTTGTGAAACCCTCTCGTGATGAAATGCTCTTTTGTGATGAAATAGTATATTATGCAATGATCATGTAATGATAGCCATTAATACACGAGCATGTTGTAGGATACGAAACGAGCCGCAGGCGAGTTTCGTATATAACATGCGAGTGTATTAATGGCCATTACATGAGAGTTGCATACACTATTTTTTCTACTGCCATTGATAAAACTTGATGATATTTAGATATGTCAACATTATGCTTAACTTTGAATAGGGATTTTATAATTGAGTAATGCGTCCATACAGTTGAAGGTTTCATTTTTTCTTGTAACTCTTCAAAATATACTATCAAAACATTTTCTGAGAAGGACGAATGTGTTTTTGGTGTTTCCAATCCATAAATTGTCCATATAATTTTTCGTAAATTTTCTTGGACTTGTCCGGTAGTATATTATTACCTGTATTTGTCGCCCTTTCTGTAATTTCTAGAGGTGTTAGTGAAAATTCTTCGTTATCGCTCAATATTTCCATAATAATGCCTTCTCCCAAACTTAAGGTATTAACTTTTAATAACAATTTGAGGTATTTTTGTTTATTAAATTATTGTTTTTCGCTAAATTACCATGGAAAAGCTATAAACAGAGTGCTGTCAAAATTCAAAAAAAAAAATTCAAATTTTTTTAACTGGTGGCGCCATCTATTGACAATGTATAATAATGAAGAAAGTAAAAATTCTTCGTTATCATTCATGATTTCCATAATAATTATTCTTTGTCCCAAACTTAAGGTAACTTTTAAACAATTCGGAGTCTTTTTTATAGTTATCAAAATAATTGTTTTAGGCAAAATCACCGTTTAAAATGTTTAATATCTTAACTAGTGCTGCCATCTATCTACATTGTATAATATTAAAAATGAGTATTATAATGAAAATCTGTATCGTAATGAAGTTCATTATGATACAGATTTTAATCGTTTAATAGCGTATTATGAAATGACAGTAGAAAAAACTCTTTTGGTTGACAACTTGATGTCGTGGTATAGCCCCAGTGCTCTTTCCTGTTTTGGTTATACCTTTGCCTTAAAAAAAAGCCAATTGACCTGTCTCCCATAAATAGAAAAAGGTAGCTTAATTGTGATCAATATAAGTTGGAAAGTAATAAAAGATGACTTGCGCGCGCAACTAGTGGGTTGCAGTGTAGCCAGTTTGTATTGTAGCAGAACAAATCTAGACAATACAGATCGAACATTATACTGATAAAAAGATACTTTTTACAATGTGTTATACAACGCTTTAAATCAGACAAAAGGAGAGCTTTAAAGTGTATTATAATATCGTTTGCACTTTCATTTTGATAAATGTTTCATCGAGCAACATCGCACAATGAAAGTGCAAAGGAATATGTCAAGTATAATCTGACATAATTTTTTAACAACACTGCGGTGAGTTCAGAAGTGATACGTAAAGTATTAGTTTGCTCTTTGTCGAATTATATGTTACAAAGAAAGAAGGAAAGATTAATTCTGAACTGGCTCCTGAATAAGAATATGACGCAAGCCCGTAACAAACTCGCTTCTCATTGGATGCTCACCTGAAACCCATGAGTTGCGCCCGCAGTCAAGGTAAAAAAAGATAGATCAATTTCAAGCGTTTGACCGATCGGTCATCGTTACAGATAAACCATTAATTAAATGTCATTTTTTCAACCAATTGGTCACAGCCATTGGTCTTAGCTGACGTCATCTGTCAAGATGACCGACTGGTCAATCGTTTAAAATTGGCTATAAGTTTTTTTTTTTTAAGTTAAAAGTCAAAATGACATTATGTTGGCAATACAACATAAAATTGTTAGTGCTTTCAAATTTTTTATGTAGAAAAGGCTTGTGTTGCCAACATAGTTACTAAATTTTTGACTTGGGGAATTATCTTTAAAAAAAAAACAGACTTTAGTTGTTTATTAACCTTGTTGTGTTGGCTTGTTCTTATTGGCTTGTGCACCTCTATCATCGCTGAGATTCGACTCCTCTTCAATATCGTTACGATTATTAGAAGATCTGCAGTCAGACTCAGATTCATCTGAAAATTAGCAAATTTTAATTTTTAAAAATAATATATCTGCAATGTATTATTACGTCCACTCTCAATATGTTCGCTGTGTTTATTAGAAATACTTGGGTGGTTCATTATCGGAAACCCTAAAATTATTGTCATTAGACTAAGTTGAAAAATATAGAAAAACGCCTAATTACTTTCTTCCTTATCATCACCTGTATTAGTTTTTTCTTGAACGAGCCTTGCCGATTTTGATAATATTGTATGTGATAAGTTTTCTGTCTGGTCCTGCTTATAACTTTTGAAACTAAGCTTGGAATCATCTAAAAATAAAGCATGTAGTCCTCAAGTGAAATACAAAAATTTAGACTAATACCAATCTTCTTGACTGCATTTGGCTGAGGTTTGACCTTGTTATCAGAACTTTTAAGCAAATTTTTACTTGGCTCAGGAAATTTGGGAATTAATTTGGCTAGTGGTTCGTCTCCTTCATCGTCGGATGAAGTACTGATTTCGGATGTGTATTCGTGTTTATTGTACTTTAAATTCTTTTTAATGTGTCTTTTTTGTGAACCAATCTCTTGTTCACTGCTTTGCTCCATATCTGAACAATGAAGATACTGGTTAGCTTTTGCTGATGCCGTAGAAAACTTGCTGTAGAACTTCTTGGAAGCTTTGAAATCTGTATATATTTTCCATTGATCCTTTTCTGGAGTAATACAATGCTTGATGGCACTTTCTATTTGTTTTTTCGATTGAAATGGTGGCCAAACGCATTCTTTCTCATCAATAACCCACGAAAGGGGTACCACTTCTACATATTCCTTATCATTTGGCTTACAATTCTCCATTGCGGAGAGTCTTTTTCTTCCTCCATTACTGAAATATTATTTAATATTATAAAATAGTTACATATTTGCTTACTTCCGGAAAACATACCGAATAAGTATTATGCTTTATATGACAATCCTTAGACTTTAGAACAATGATCAAAAAAAAAAAAAAATGTTAAAAAGTAAGACAGAGATATTTGAATTTGAGGTTTCAGCGTCGAATGAATTGAAAAAAAAATGAAAACAGTGATAATAATAAAACTAACAAAAAATTTATAACCAATAGAATTTCAATCAATTTCAGTACTGTTACTATGATGTAAGGGGTAAATCACAAAACCATCAGAATATGGCAATGTTACTAGTTTATTTTTAATATTTTTTATCGGCCAGTAGCAAAGATTACTTGACTTTTTCATAAAAAATATTTCAAGGAGAGACGAATCGCATGGTTCGGTATAAAAATTTTCCATTGATTTAAAATATTTTCCAATAACAACAACTTCATTAGTTTTAGAACAGATAGCAAAATTTTTTACAAGAATTACTTTCCCATCTTCCAAAATGCAGCAGCAATCATTATTATTAATTGAAATCTGAAATTGCTTGAATGTAGCCCTTTTATACTGAGGACCATCACAATTTTGGATCAAAACTCCATTACAGTGCGGTCTATCTAATCTGAATTCAGCTGTTTCATTATTATAAGTATTTTTTCGTAAATGCAAGTTAATTTCAGTAATTCGCTTTACCACTTGTTGCAATATGTCGGAGGGCTTTCTTATTAATTTTTTTATTTTCTGTAAAAAATTTTCACTGCTGAAATTACTAAAATTATCCAGACATCCGTGTTGACGCACATCACCAACTAAATGCAACAGATTATGAAAATTGTGAGACAAGAAATGCGACCCATAAATTATCTTTGTTGATTTCACAAAATGCAATAATAATTCTTCTGCAAAATCTAAATAACGAGGGCATAGATTTTCACTTATTAATATGACCATTGCAGCATGCAAAGTTAGAAAATGTTTATATTTGGTTTTTGAAATGACGGATTTAAAACGACAGGGCCAGAGTAAAGAACAAACTGTCTGAATTCAGTAGCTTTCCAACGTTTGCTTTCTATGAGCGATCTCGGAACGCGTGCAAAATCAGATGGTATGAATTTTTTCAAAGATTCCAAATTATGAGATACTGTTTGAAAATCTCGGCTGCAAAATTTGTGGGGAATTAAACCGAACGCCCATGTCTTCACAACCAACCTCTTGACAACACCTAGGCAAATTAAATGCATATAATCAAGTGGAACGTCCGTGAGGAAATTAATACCGGGTATTTCTCTCAAAATTGTTAATCCATTAAGGAACCTGTTTTCAAATTGAGACACAAAGCACTCATTGGTGCGTAATTCGAAAGCAGTATCTGGGAAGCATACCCTTCCTTCGATACGCCTACCTTTTTGTTTACATTTAGTGCACGAATTATAGCCAGAATGGCCCTTACAATATAAAACGCTAGCCTTGGCAACAGCGTCAAATAAAAACATCGTAATTTTAAATTTATACAATTTTCCAAATATCGTTATTCCATTTTCGGTTAGTATTTTGCCCTCATCAACAAAATCTCTCAAAAAATCGTTGAAACTTTCAGGCTTTTGATAACCGTGGTATAGTAGGTGCAACAATATACCGCTGACTCTTATTGCAATAAACTAACTACCTGGATTAGACCCTATTGTATAGGCATTGTTGAAGGTATTATTGCAGTCAGAAGATCAACGGTATATTGTTGCATTCACTATATATGCCTGCTACTGAAATATTATTGCTATTGTCAATTGACTTGTTGATACACAAAATCGGGTAAACCTGACTAGACGAACTGCTAGCTAGTGGAAGACCGTCTATATTAATGGCAACATTTATTACTTCCTTGCTAGGTTCCAAATTGAGATTTACATAGTTTTGTTCAATAGAATTTTCGATACCAATATGGCAGTAATAACCAGGATCCACGCGACGTTTTTGGATAGTGCGTGGAGTGCCTAAAAACGACCTAGGGTCTTTTGGACAATTTTTCAAATCTGCAATTTCAGGAGCGATATTCATCAAAAAGTCCCTTAGGGCGTTATGACTAATTTTGTGTTTGACAAACCAGGTTTTAATTTTCTCAGTAAGTGGAGGGCTGTTATTGTAACTTCTTGCCCCATTAGTAATTATTGTATCGGAAACGTCATGAAATTCTATGTCAGCTTCGTTGATATCTGAACCAGTAAAACTATTTTCATTTGAGCAATTATTATGAAGAATACTTTCATCCGAGCTTTCATCACTATTTGAAACATACTCTGTGTAATCGAAATTGAAAATTTGATCATTATTGTTTGCAGGTAATTGGCTGTCATCATTGTCACACATAATATATTCATCTTTGTGAGAGCGCTCGGCAAGGGATAAATCGTTGTTAATTGTACAGACGTCGGGCAGTGACTCAGTGTCAGTTTTATTATCATTATTTTTGAAAAACTCATCAACTTCCTTATTAATCAATCGTCTGAGGTGCCTTTTAGTAACTCTGACCTTTGGCATGCTGAAATTTTTTTCACTTTAAATGAGAGATTTCTAACAATTTCTTATAATCCTATTTTTACAAACGAACATTGAACTGAACCGAAACAATTTAAAAAAAAAACCTGGCATTTGGAAGATGAAAATCAATTATTGATTATTGGTTCCAAAAAATATAAACCACAGGTAAACAATTTTTTCAGAATTTTAAGTAGGTATTGCAAATTTAGGTCATAAAAATGAATACCTCATTCCGAGCCACACTCATACTGTGGGTTTAAAAAAAGGGGATCGATATCACAAAATCTCCTGGCCTATTATGCAATAATTTAATATTTAACCAAAAGTAACATTATTTTGGCATTTTCCGAGAGGAATAAGTATTCTTCGACTGAACTCAATGCCCTGAACCCAACATATTTTGAAATGTTTATTTACTGTCAAGTTTTTTTAAGTTCCACTGGGAGCTCAAATTTCCTCAAAGTGGGGTTAATAACGGGTCTCCAAAAAAAACCTTATCAAAGAGTGCTTTGATTACAAAAACGTACCTCATATTTATTGTTTTTTATAGTCAGGATTTTTGACATTAAAGTTCAAGCTAGGACATACGTTTAAAAAGCCATATCTGTAAATTAATTTGAATTTAAATTTCGCGCCTCCCCGCCAACATGTCATGTCAGCAGGTCGGAAAAACGGGTATAAAGGCGGATTGAAAAATTGGCAAAAGAGGTTATGTTTTCATGTTTTGGGCGGTAGCAGCATGATTGTAAGCGTCCTTCTCGAAAATATATTATATTTAAAAAGTTAATCGACTATTATTAAAGCCAATTTCATTATTATTAAGTATATAGCAATTTTTTGATTGTTTTTTTTTTTTTGAAGAACCGTTAACTTTAATTTAAAATAAAATGTTTGTCTTACGGCGGTCATTGATTGAAATTAGTCAATAGTCTATAAGAATAGTAATAATAAATAAACTTAACTGAATGGCGGCACAAGAACTACGAACGGCAACGAATGAAGAATGAACGTGAACGTGAAACAAAAGCAACAGGTAAACCCCAAACGCTTCAACTGACTGGGGTGCGCTGCGGTACCTGCTACGTGATGGCACGGGGTGGTGGGGGAAGCTAGCGGGCCGCGGTCGGTTTGGTTGCGACTCTGGAAGAAGGAACGGAACGAGCAACGAGCGAGAGCGAGAGAGCAGAACCGACCTTCGATAACCCTCTATGAATGAATGTGCAATACAATCAATACAATGCAAATTCAAATTTCATTAAAAAAAAATTATGTAGTGTCATACAATTTTATATTTTATTACGAAATATGCGTTTTACGGATATTAAGAAAAAATATATTAATTCGGAATAATCCTGTTTCATTCTTTGAAGTTCAATCGAATCATTCCTGGGATATTCCATATGAATATTCCTGAAACAGAGCGGATTATTCCTAGACGATAGGGAATATTCATGGAATATTTTGGAACCTCCGTTGCGGTCTGGGATGTGGTAGGTACAGTGTCCATCATAATGTTCGCTGCATATGGAAAAACTTTTCATTTGTAGGATATGCGATTTTATATTATGTGCAATCGCGGTCGATCCTGCATATCAGATAACCTAAAAGTACATTTTGACGTCGGTCACGTGATCACTGTCATGGCGGTAAATTCAAAAATTTCGACATGGAAACGCGAAAAGTGGGAATGGCAAAATATTGGAAAAAGTTATTTGAAAAAAGTGTTCTCGAACATGCAGGATCGATAACACACAAAAAAATTCTCATAGTCATATCCTACAAATAAACATTTTTCTGTATTTGTCAAACTTGACATGTACCTATAGCTGAATGTTAAAAAAAAAAATTATTAACGTGATTTTGCATTATTTCCAAATTGAAAACTGGTTGTTAGCTCTAAATTGGCCTAAATTTAACTAAGGTAAAAAAATGTCCCATGTGATGCGGACTTAAATGGTCACACGGCATGTAAAGCTAATACCATGTGTACTACTTACCGTCACCAAGATATGTAATTTCATTCGATTATCCCTTCTGAAAGTTTGTGGCACTAGACCCTTTAGACCTTATACCTTCCATTTATTGATGCATGATCTTCTTCAGGTCTCCTGATAGTAAGACGGATTGGCGCCAATATTCTCGAGATTCTCGGGCAATGGTATCGCCGGTCATGGCCCCAAGACCCCTGTTCTATGCTGGAAACTATCCTGGTGGTGTTCACCCGATGTACAGCCAAGAAGGTAGATTTTCAACTGGTGATTGGCGGCCACCTGATAGGGAATACTACCGTGGAAGTCGTCCACAGTGAATATAGGTTAAAATAATTATATTTATCCGACACTTACATAATAATATGACATTGTGGCCTATATAACTCACCAGTGAGTTATGACATGGTCCACTTATTTGAAAATTCTATGCATGTTTTGAATCGTTTTTTTTTTCTGATAATGACAACTTCAAGTTTTGTTCAAATATTATTGGAACAACACGATTATATGAAAGTGTTGGATAAAACGTTGTATTAGGCCCGCAAAATGTACATTTAAAATTTTGACATGTGAAACTGTAAAAACTTTATTATGCATATACGTATATCTATACATTATACACCACATACATTATGTCGATTGATAATTAGGTATTGTCGAAAATACTAAATTTTTTTAGGCTGTTAATTAAATAGTGTAACTTTATTTTTATTGCTTTATACATATTTTCGGTATTTAGGTATCAACTATAAGTACCTAGATAAATAAGTACTAGAGTTTTCTGTTTTAATTATAGAGCGCTTTTGCGTGATATCATTTTGAAATGAACCTACTTTTGTATAATTGGAATATAGGTACATATGTATAATTGTGTAATTCTCAGATGTAAATATTATACTATAATGTAATTGATAAAATATGTTTTGATATACTTTTGTTTTATTTTTTATTCAAATGTTTTAAATACAGATATAACAACTTATAAAGTATAAGGTCACTTTATCAGTTCTATTATTCAGATCCTCGATAACTAATACTCACAAGGATATCCTTTGAGCAGGAGTAAAGGGTTAGTTTATGTCTGTCTGAGTACTGAATAACTTGTAACTTGTCTGAACGGTCATTAGTTCATACATTGTGGTGTCCCTGCTTGTCACTTCGCGTTTAGTAGGCCTATGCAGTGAGAGTTCAGTTGTTTTACTCACAATCAAAAGTTTATTAGTGAGTTGTCGTTGTTAGGATATTATGTTGTGGTTCGAATTAGTGAAGATTGAGGTGAATATGTTCTAACCAACTACACTTATAGCAGAAGGAGCAGCCGCTGCTTTCGATATTTTAGAAAAATCGCAAGTACCTACCACAAATAAAGTGAAGGAATGCTTAGGCTATTAGAATGTTAATAAATAAGTACAAAGCAACATTTGGTAAATCAATTCTTGTTAAAGTTCTATTATAGAAAATTAACATGAGAACAAGGTTGAAGAAGAAAACAGATGTGAGGAAAACTGGAAATAAAGCGATGACAAGAGGCCATGCATGCAGATTGGTATTGATGAAGAAGAATCGGATCAATTGCACAGCGAAATGATATTGGTCCACCACAGTATAGCAAAGCCGGTGTACAGCATCTCCTGATCAATCATGTAGTGGTGCCACAGCTATTCAACCAGTATTCTTGTAAGTAAAACGAAAATTAGTTACAGAGAAGTATGAAACGGATGAAACTAGAAGACTAACAAGTATGGTACAGCAGGAATACTATGGAATGAATTTGAAACTAATCCAGCGTAAGGAATCTACACCGAAGATTATTGTTGAGGAAAATAAAACATAGGTACTTTAGTTTATAAAAAATTCCCCAGGAAGTTTTATTTGAATTCACAATGTTTCGTTTCAGACTGTATTCATCACCACAATCAGAAATTATGTACGTTCTCAAATCTGTAATTAGTTGACAAAGACATGTAATGCTCGCTTGTAAACTTAATTTGTTAGGTTTGCTAGTTCTTAATAAGTATTTTCGAACAAATGAACACTACTGAGCAAAAGCGGACTGTATACTTGTAAAACGAACTTTGAAATGGCCTCCTGAGCTGGTCAACTTGATGCGCATTAAATGTGAAACGTAACCGAACTTGTAGCGAACCGTAGACCGTTCATAGCATTTGCTAATCGATTTTATAAGCTTCGGCGACCTGCGAGCCCCCTTGCGTAATGGCGGCGAAAGCGCAAGTGACCAAGTGTCCGTCGTTGCCCTCCAAGGATATTCCTACGCCTGACGTACTTCCGTGAAAATGTGCGCGCGCAGCTGGAAAGTCAAGACGCGCGCCGCTGAATGTTGGATCGCGCACTAAATTCAAATGTCAGAGCCATAGGCGTATCCAGGGGGGGGCTGCCGGGCTGCAGCCCCCCCCCCAAGGCAAGTCTGGACCTTTTTTTTTCAGCTTATTTTATGTGACATGTACATTTTTTGTAAAAAAAAATAGAAATAAAATTTATTTCTTTCTATAATAAGGTTTTTCTATGGCGAGCGCCTAATGCAGTAAGGAAATCAGCGCTTCATCTTAATCATCTTAAATGTCCGAAATACTTCCTTCCTCAGGAGAGAAGGGGCTCCGTGAACAAAATGTCTCCTCTTACCAAAATAAAGCGAATAATAGTGGCCCGATGCGAACATTCTTGTCGCCCCGCAAAAAAGAATAGGTGCGTAGGGTATGTTACCTAGCTAGGTAGGTGAATTCTGACAAAAATAGGCAACTTCCAAATTTTTAAATTAATTTGTTAGCCATTCTGATAACATCAGTATGATTTTTTTTTTCTCCAAAAAAACGCTTATTTTTGAAAATAAAATGATTTGAAAATCGGATTTTTAAACTAACTGGTGTGAAAATGCGGGATAGGAGGAGGGACGTCACTCTCCCAAACATGCGAGGATGCCGAATTTCTCATTAGTAAACCATTCCCAAACATGGCTGACATAAAACTAGTCACAACCTATGACCTACTTTTGTTTGTCCTTTACTAGTGCGCAGCGTTTTTTTTTTTTTTTTTGGTCAACACTTTTTGTTAACAGAGCCCCCCCCCCAAACCAAAATCCTGGATACGCCAATGGTCAGAGCGCACAATAATAATTGATACCAATACAAAACTTTAGCAAACTTGAAACTAAACATGATTATTAAACAAATAATTTTGAGTTACAAGACTTAGGTTGTCCTCGATGGCGAAGTGGTAGTTGATCATAATTTTGTCATGGTATTCTATATCTTCCTCTGGTGCCTCTTCAGCTGCTTGGAATCTGGGCTGGGGTCAAGACAAGTAAAATTCTACTTTCATGACGTCAGGTTGCCTAGCAACCGTCATCATCGCGTGTACTACGTGATAAAATAGGTTGCGGGTGACGTCATGAAAGTAGAATTCTACTTGTCGTGATCCCAGCCCTCGCCTTAAGCCTAGTACTCATAACCGCGAAATTTGCTCTTTTTCGACGTTGCTTCGACAATTTGACGTTTGATTACTGTTATATAAATTCTAGTTATTCCATAGACGATAAATATTATAAAAGGTAGGTATACTTACCTACTACTATCGCTATACACCATTTTCAATGCTATTTTGTGTACATTTTATATTGGCAATAAAAACGCATGGCATATTATATTCTTTAAGAGGCCAACAACAAGCCGTTAAAAATTGAGAAAAAGGGCTGATTTCCCGAGACGAGAACTCACTTATTTTGTAATATTTTTTGACCGGATTAGAAAATAATAAAGGATAAAAGTCTAAAGATTCATGCTGTTGTTTTAGTTTTCCGAAAAAAAAATTTTAAATTGAAAATATCACGACCTAAATACTCGAAAAAAAGCATCATTTCTATCGCTCGGTACATCCAAACCCATCGCTTTTTTTAAAAAAATAAAACAAGAGCATTGTTCTTAATTTTATTATCTTTTCAAATCTTCTTGATTCACTAAAAAATATTAAGTAGTTTTTGAGATCTCCTCTCGAATTGTAAGCCACACGGAAATTCAAAAATTTTGGCTGCAGCGAGGTGCTGCCTCTGGCGGATTTAATTTCGCACCGGGGTAAGTAAAAATTACAAGACTCGAGAGGACTGCAAGGCCAGTTATTTGTTTGTGTAAATAATTATGATGAATATATTTCATAATGAACTCAAATCGAACAAATATTACTTTACTAGAATTCAAGAAACGAAAGAGGATATCATATAGCATTGTTTAATACAGTTAGTACGCAGGGACGTCTCAAGACTTCTTTAGGCCCTGGGCCTATATGTCAAAGGAGGCCCCTTGCCTACGGGGGGGTGTGCTCTAGGGCATACGACATGAATAGGTTAGAAAAACTTTTAAAATGTAGAAATGTAGGTAATGTGTATATTGTGGAATAGTATATTACATTACGAGTGTAGAAAGTGACACATTTCACACGAGTGTTTTTTCAGCCGAGTGCGAAAATCACACGAGTGTACGTAAGACGCTTTCTCACAAGTGATGTACACCATTTTTCCTACGACCAAAAACCGATTTACACCAATTTTCTCTTATTTTATTTCTTTTCATTTTTAACACACGTGCTGAAAGTACTTTCAAACCACGTATTGAAAGTAAATTGTTATGTCAATCACAAATAATATCACCAGTATTTTCCACACATGTGCTGGAAGTACTTTTAGCAGGCTTATTGGAAGTACTTTCAGCACGCGTGTGATATTTAGCGCTTTCCAAAGAACCAGCTAGTGCGAATTTTGTCATTTTTGTATGTGATCGTAGGAAAAGAAAATGACAAATTACAAATGGCGTTTTCTAGATTTTACAGAGGCGAAATCGTGAATAATGTCTTCAAAATCAATGGTTTGTAAAATTTTGCTTTCAATACTCAACAAATCATGGATAAAAAAATTCTCATGCCAATTTCATGTTTCCTCCCCATTTCTACTTCCTGTTTTTTTAGTTTTTCAATATCTATGCTGATATAGGATTTGAAATGGTCACATTCCAAAATCAATTCATCGGTTTCTTTGTCATAAAATTGTGACAGTTTTACCGCTTCTCTTGAAATTTCAATTTCAGTTAGGTTAGACGTTTTTTCAAAAAAAAAAAAACGATTTTTCCAAATATTTTGTTACCGTTACCTTCAAGGAAAGTTACTTTGTCTTTTCACTCGTTTCCTAATATCGCGGTACTCCTTTAAAACAGATTTTTTTCTGGATTTTGATTAATAAAAATCAAAACCGCCTCTTTTTCTCTTATATATGCCATTAATGATTTAATAATTATTCACCTAACGAATGCGGAAAGTGATACTTTACCGCACGCAACGGCAGTAGATCGGTTAAGCCTCTAAGGGCGGTAAAGGTAAAAGCAAATCCATTTTCTGCAAAAGAAAGGATTTTTAATCATAAATACCAAAGTCTACTTTACCGCATACTATGCGGTAAAGTTAACTTTACCTCACACTTTGCAGTTCACTTTACCGCATGCTACGTGGTAGAGTGCTACTTTCCATTTGCAAATAAGGGCGGAAAAATGCACTTTACCGCACGCTCGTAGGTAAAAGCTATTTTCCTAACGAGTGCGGGAAGAGACATTTTCGTAACTGCATCTATTCTTCACGTGAAGATCAACGTGTTTTTGATAAGCTTTTCAGTATAGTGAATGCAACAATATACCGTTGATCTTCTGACTGCAATAATACCTTCAACAATGCCTATACAATAGGGTCTAATCCAGGTAGTTAGTTTATTGCAATAAGAGTCAGCGGTATATTGTTGCACCTACTATACTTTATGATCGGAAGTTAAATTTGAATTCATTTCCCAACGGTGCATTGACGAGGAAAAAATCGTAGAGGTTTCGAACAAAGTCAAAGTAAATTGTGACATTGTGGAAGTTGCATTCTATCGCTACCCGCCTATATTTTTTTCCCCATTTTTTTTTCTATAAAATTTATTTTAAATGGGGCGTGGAGGCGATGAGG